TAACATAAGTGGGAGCATTATGTGCATATGACATGAAAGTACTTATGGATAAAAACCATTGAATTAAATTAATAAATCTTCGAATAGCTTGACAATATCCATATTCATAAATAAGATATTTCCATGTTAATTCAGCATATTTATTTTGAATTTCTAATATTTGATTGATGTTATTAAATTCGATAGAAATATCTCCATGAAGTGCTCGAGCATTTGAAGAAAAAGCAAATAAAGAAACTGCTAATTTAAATAAAACAATATCTGATGGACTAAATGTAGTTGCCCATCGCTGATATTTCATTGTTGTTTTTCCATATTGAATATCAAGTAAATTCATTAAAGTTTTATGATTAATTAAATCACAATGATAGAATATAAAAACTTCACCTAAACAAGTTATATTATCAGCAGCAGTATGAAGTAATACAGATCGATCATTTGAACATAAACGACTAATATCATGATTATAACGAAGACATATTCCAGCTGTTTCATAAAAGCTTACCATTAATTGTCTTACTAAATCTTCATTGATTGTAATTAAAGATTCTGATGAATTATATTCAGTTTGTAAACGTTGACTCAATAAAAATAATTTTGATTCATCATAACTATTTATTATATTTCATAAGAGAATCCATTGATTATTATTTAATGATGAAATATCTTTTTCTAAAAGGTTTAATGTTGGAATCTATTGAAATACAAAATACAATAATAAATTCTTATTTATTTTATATATTTTACTTGTTTTCTTTCATATAATTTAATTGAACTTGTTGAAAATTTATTTTTATTTTTATTTTTATTGATTGGTGTACTTCGTAGAGATGTACGAATCATTTCTGCTTTCATTCCACTTCTAAAACATTTTGAAAGTCTACACGAAGAACATACATGACGATTATTTATATTTATTTCACATTGACCAACGAAATCACATTTCCATAATTTCTTAAATAGTTACTAAATAAATAAAAGCAAGAAAATAAACTGAAAATGAAAACAAACCTTATCAGATAGAGCATTTCGTTTAAAAAACATTTTGCATGCACTACATGAAATAACACCAAAATATGAATAAAAAGCAGGTGAACCGCAAATTTTACATTCTGATTGATATGGTTTTACTTTTTGTTTAATCATTATTGCAATATTATTTGCTATTATTAAATTAAATGATTTAAATCTTAAATTATCTATAGTAACTATATAAACGAAACAAACTAAACAATAAGATTATCAAGGTTGCTTTTTTTTTGTCTATTCTATGCAAAATGAAAATGTTACTTTAGCTTTTCTCTGTAATGTGTCTTTATTATGACATAAATATATTTTTCTTTTTTCTTCTCATTAGAGAAAGCAAAACAACCTATTATTATCTATATTCTTCTTTTTCTTTCTCAACTGTTCAAAAAATAAATGAAGACTGGCGACATGACGTAGTCCGAAATATCCTGACACTACTCAGTTTTCACTTGAAACGTCTGCCATATTCGTCATATCTAGCTATCTTCCCAAGAAACGTCCTGTAACCACGTCTAGACTAGGCTAGAGCGTCCTTGAATTTCATCATGTCTTTTTCGTTCGTCTAATTACTCTGTGCAGACTAGTCCCTCGAACAGAAAAAGAAGAAAAAAAAAGATGAATTCAACCATTTGAACCGATAGTATACAATATCAGATGGGTGTTCGGACGGCAGATCGTGAATTATTAATAGACTAACGTTAGTTTGAACAGTTCAAATAACAGAAAGACACTCATTCATTTGCTAGACAATAAAAAACCTAGCTGAAGACAAGTGCTCAAGCAGTCACTCGATGGGTATTTCAAGGTGTCGATCTGAGAATATCAATAGGTCGATAGAAATGAAAATTATTACCCATCGCCTACCCCTTGACCTATCGGGAAGTAAGATTCCGAACACTCGATCTAAAAATTCGATGTCCTCGACGCACACCTCTTTTATGAATTTCGATGGGCAAATTAGCAGAGGTTCGAGTAATCGGTATTTGGAGCACTCGAAATTTCATGAAATTTTCAAAAAAATGTTTGTCTCCATATATACATCCTATTGTTTTCGAGTGCTCGAAATCTATCAGGTATTTTTGCAGAAGAGAAGATTCGAACATATGTATTTACGGTTACGAAGCTTAAATAGATCAGATGAACCGAACATTACGTTTAAGTCTTTGATAAAACTATGTATCGTGTATAACTTGAACATTTTCAATATATTTTTAATAAGTTTTTCAAAAAAAAAATTGTGGGGTATCTATTTCTATTGCTCTAGATTAACAAAACAGTAATTCCATCTGCTCCAGGTTTTCTTGTCTTAAATAAAAGATTTATATTAAAGCATAAATTCAATTTTAATTAATTGTACTATAAACAAAAAAATTATGGAAGAAATATTGAAACTAGAACAACGATAAATTTTACTGAACGAGTCTCCTGAAGTTTAGAATCTTGAGCTTTTTCGATATTTTTAAGGACAAAAAAAAAATTGATCGTTCCTGATAACCCTATCAGTTAGTTATTTACTAACAAGTAATTATAAATATAAGTGATTTGAAGAATTACAAAGTTTCAAGATTTTCCATGAGTAATAGCCTAGGATGAGTAACGTTTCATCAGAAATGGGCATATATTTCTATTATGGCATCTTATTTGATTTGATACAATCTGTTGTAAAAACCATCAAGTTCTAAAAAAACCATCTAACAAGCAAAAACTTCTGCGATTGGATGATGGAATAAAAGAAAACATTTACTCGAAAGCAAAATGTTAAAGTACTTTGTACCAGTCGAATAGACACGAATGTTCGGAAGTATTTTATCGACAGATCTTCTATTTCCGAGAAGTTGAAGTCTCGATATACACCGAGAGGTCGAAATGTATCCGAGAAGTCAAAAGTAAACGTGCGATGGGATAATGTTTCTGATCATACATTGAATCGATGGATTTCGACTGTTCGAAATTATACAGAGTAACCGAAAATATCTTCTGGATGGGTCCCCTCTCTTCCAATAGTCGAATTTTCGATAGCCTTTGAGTGATTGGAATGTATCCGAGGAGTCAAAAATGAATGTTAGATAAGAAAATGTGTCCGAGAGGCTCGAAATCTCGACAGAACGAGAAAAAAACATATTTTTCAAGTTTCGAGCACTCATCGTACCCATTGCTAGCATTTTAACAGCTACTTGAGTGACTTGACTAGTCTGAAACATCTTCTGCTGCCGTCATGAATAATCTAGTTTTTAGAATCTATCATCATTATGGGTGTGGGTGTGCGAGTAGATCACCTCCTCACACCCGCCCCCGCAACGTAAACATGCCGCAGAAAAACACATCGATATAAATAAAATCATTTGTTTTTTTTAATTCACAATTCTCAAAGCACCTATAGAAATATATCGACTAGGAAAAGATGTCAAAAATGTGAAATCTTGGTTATAAAAAATAATATTGAATTAGGTTCTAGTCATCGCTGTGTTTGGATTCACTTGCGAAGACAGAATTGAATGCTGATCGAGTGGCATTCGTTAATGCTCTGAAGATGTTGAGGAGAGACGAGAATAAACTACTAGAGCATGCAGATGATGAACTCTCCACTGACGATGATGGAACACGTAAATCAGAATAAATGTCTACTCGAGGAACGATTTGCTCGGTAGACGGAAAAATTCTGCCAGAAATACGTTCACATAAGCCAGAATCATTGAATTTGATATGGAATTGTGATCATCATTAGATAGTATGATCGGTTGCTTGTTTCGAGCAGAGATGTGCGATCCACGGATTTCGACTCGTTGGACCCCCGCGAGGCCACTTGACGACGGGTAGGCAATGGCATAAAGGGTGTGGGATGGGTGTGGGTGTGGATACAGATATGATCCACACCCACCCTGATACACCATCAGTTAGAAAAGGGACTGTTAATAACACACCTGTTTCATATTTCGACGACATGGACAGCGATGCGACAACAGACACAGATAATGAACCTGAAGAAGAGCCAGAGTTGAATTAAGGCGACAATCAAGAAAAAAATAATACGTTGTAATAATAATAATAGCTTTTTTAATGAAAAACAAATAAATGCAGTTTTTAAAAATATCTCTTGATATATTAATGCTCTGAAAAAATTGAATTGATATATTTCGAATTTTTGTATTGGCACAATAGCCACAAGAATGGGACTATGAATATTTAGTGAAAACTTTTTAAAAGATCGATTTTACAATTAAATTCAATATGAATTACTACTTTCTATTTTGCAATAGCACATATTTTTGTTACGAAATTTTCAAAGTTAAGACAACAGTCTGGTTTAATGATACATGATTAGTTTTGAAAAAACAATGATGATGTATATCTATTTGTATTGATTTGTATCATTAAAGGAGAAAGAAAGTTGGTTATGAAAAGTTAATTTCTTTTTATTTTGTTAGAAGTTCATTCATTACTAGGAACACAATCAAAAAGTAAAGCACAGAACGAGAAAAAAAGATTCTTTTTGCTAAGTTTGCTTAATGACAGGAAAGAAAAAAAGATGTAATTGCACAATATGAATTACAACACCAAATAAGAAGGAGAAAAATACAAAGAAATACTTAGTGATTGGCTTGTTTTACATGGGGATACTTCGTCTGAGAACTGGAGGGATGACAAAATGGGTATCTGTTTGCTGTTGTGAAGCCAGGTCGGTGGGCACGGAAGTTGCAATCCGCTAAGGAGTGTGTAACAACTCACCTGTCGAATGGCCTGATACTCTGTCATGTACTTAGAATCCCCATACGCCACCCAATCACATTTTTATCTAAAATACCTATAACATGATATCGTAATAAGCCTTACTGATGATATAGTTGGTGTTCCAGAATAAAATGATCTTTCAACAATGTATCAATATCACCTTCATTTTCCATAATTGAGACTTCGTTTTTTTTATTTTCGTCAAAATAATTCTTGTTCAATACTCTACAAATCTACATAGAACGCATTGATGTAGAAGTTAATCGTAAAAAAATCTAAACTGTAGACTATGAGACGTCAAAATGGCATATTTTGTAACTTTGTTTTGTCGACTGCCCTCATCTTAGTTGTTCGGAATTTTAGATAAAAGAACACTTAATGAAGCATTCCATAGCTCTTGAAAAGGTCTTTCATCATAGTAACTCAAAAATTCTTGGACTTGTTCAATATTATATACTTAATCGTATTCAAATAACCTGTTTTATATTTAATGCGAAAAAAACAGGTGAAAACATTGAAAAACTGAGATGAGCTCGATCAAGCATCTGTCCTATTTAAAAAAGAAACTAATAGATTTTTGGGAAACGACGTTATTACAATTGCACATCATTTTCTGCGCTATCCAATGAAACGAGAAAACACAAATCCCGAAGACTAATAACATATTATCATTCAACATCTTTTTCTGCAACTATTAACTCTAGAATAATATCTTATTTAGGAATCGGTCTGTGGTAGCATCTTACGCTTATAGTAAAAGACAATGTGCCCTTCTAAAAGTTATTTCATTTAATCCAGTTAAAATTTGGTCACAAAATGTTTTTTAAAATTCAACCAGAAGCATGAATATTAATCATTTAAAAGGCAGTGTCTTAAAATAAAAACTTATTTTGTCCAATAATCAGGATTTGATTTAAGCCATTGAATAGTTTTTTCTAATCCTTGATCAAATGATATTTGTTCTTTCCAACCAAGCGATTTGACTAATCCACATGTTGTTGTACAATATCGTGCTTCAGTAAACGATCGAGGTTTAACATATATAATAGCATCATCAAGATTTTTATTTAATTGAAGTTTTTCTAAAATATATTTCGCTATATCAAGAACATTAAATTCATTTTTTGTTCCAATATTATAAATCATTTTGGTTTTTCCTTTATTTAAAATAAGTTCAATAGCACGAATAACATCATCAACATAAAGATAATGACGTATTTGTTTACCATCACCATGAATTTTTATTTTTTCTCCTTGTAATAAAGTATTAATAAACGTTGGAATAATTTTCTCAATATGTTGTCTTGGTCCATAGACATTACATAAACGAATAATACAATAGGGTAATTTAAAACTTTCACCATAGGATTTAACAAGAAATTCAGCTGCAGCTATTGTTGCTGCATACGGATTAAGAGGATTAAGAAGACAAATCTCTTGATTACTACCAGATGGTGTTTCACCATAAACTTCATCAGTACTTATATGAATAAATTTTTGAATTTTACCATAAATTCGACTTGCTTCAAGAACAGAATGAGTTCCGTAGACATTTGATTCTGTAAATGTAATACTATTACCAAACGAAGTATCAAGATGAGCTTGAACTAAAATAAATAGATAAAAAACAGTTACTACAACTTAAAATGTAATTCGTTACAACGATAGAAATGCATTTAATTCAATAGTCATTTAAGTAGTTGTTTATCTGTATGGATCAGAATGAAAAAATAAATACAGAAATAGAACTATGTTATTTTGTCAATAAATTTTCATGTTGATCGAAGAATTGTAAAAAAATTTTTTTTTTCCTCTGAGAGTAGGTTGAAGCGGTGCGAAAAATATTTAATGGAGCAAGATGAAGAAGACAATACTTTCTAAAAGATAATTGGGAAGAGGATTTTTTTTCATAGTGAGATCAACCCACAAACATAATAGTAATATTTTTTTAAGATTGAGACAGTATTGGATCACTTAAAGTCAGAGTCAAAGAGTTGTACTCTGCAGGATTATAGTGAGTAGATATCTAATACGAATCCAATAAATGAGTCAACTATTTTTCAGTTCTATAATAATTTATTCACATAAATATAAAAAAATCAGTCTCATATGATGAGAACATAATTAAGATAAATAAAAATTAAAGAATTTTTTTCTGATATTTACCTGCAAAATGAATAATATGTGTAATATGGTATTGATTAAAAAGATGTAAAACAATATCTTTATTACTAATATCCGCAACAATAAGCGTATAATTAGGTGAATTTGGATTGGCAATATTTTTTGTATTAGCAACTGGATCAAGTCGATCAATATTAATAATTTTATCATTTGAATATGTTTCAATCCAATGATTGATAAATGTACTTCCAATAAATCCACATCCACCAGTAACAAGTAAAATTTTTGATTTATTTTGGTTCATATTGATTTTTTGTTGCTGTAAAATTTGTTCAATACTTTTTAATACATTTGGTAATAGAAAAGATGCTTGGTAAAGTGGTCGTGTTTCAGGTGAAATCATTTGTTTATTCCATTGTTCAAATTTATCTGTAATATCTTCGGTTTCAATTGATTGAGGCAAAATATTCTCTTGTTTAATTTCATTTGAATTAATTTTTTTAAAATATTGCAACGATATTGTACCTTTATTACAAACATCTACTTGACCATTTGCTTTACCATCATGTATTAGTGCTAATAAAATAGGTAAAACATCAGAAAGTATTGTTATACGATGAAATTCGTCTGGATTTGTTTGCCATAACGATTCAAAATAATTTTCATTTAAATCTTCATCACTTATTGGTGTTAGCAGTTTTGCACTAAATATTAGAAAACAAAAATAATGAATTTTTTTTCTCTAAATAATAATAAATTTAATATACTTGACAATATGTGAATAAATATTAACTAATTGATCAGTTGCATTTTGAATTATAATTAAACTATTATCATTTGTTGTACATGTTAATAAAAGTACAGGAATAGGTGAATAAGAATTTGTTGTAGTTTGTGCTACATAGAGAGGAATTAAAAGATGATCATTGATTGTATTAATAAGTCTTGAAGAATTTTTTTCATTTATTATAACAATAATTCTATCAGGTTTATCATTATTTATTTTATCTTTTATTTCTTGTATTGATGATTTACCATGATGATAATTATAGAGAACTATTTGTCCAGCTACTTCTAATATATCTTCACATTGTTTTGAGATGGAATTTTCGTCATGACTTACGAGTAACCAACGCATTTCTTTTTGGTATGAGATTGAAAATTGTTAAGAAAGAAGAAAAAAGAAATTTTTCGTCTTGTAGCTCAACAGGACAGAACGCTAAAAAGAAAAAAAATTGTGTACTTATGGCTTCTTTTTATGCATGTGCCATTCGAGAAATTGATGTTATGAGACATAAGTGGCTGGACCAGAAAAAAGAAATTTCTCTTCATTTAACAATTCATTCAAAACGAAATGCCCTTGTTATTATAAGAGTAAAAGCTATAAAGAAAAGATTATATTCACATTTACATTTAAATATGTACTTCTCTTTTTGACATAGGAAAAGAAAAGCGAACGTATTATATGCAATAAATACACAAATCTTGATTGAGTACCAAATGAAGCCTATTTTTTCTTTTTTCCATACATTCTGTCTTTTTTGATTCAAAATCATGATGTTTTATGAAAGAAGTCTTATCGAAAGACAAAGCTGACTCTAAATTATATTTGTTTTATATTAAAAACAAATTTTCGTCCTATTCATATATCTATTAATTTTTAAAAATTTTGCGTTACTTTTTCTACATGAAAGTTTATAATGTGAACATATTTTATCGGAAAGCGATGACATAATAGCGGTGCTTGTTCCTGTTTTATAACGTTGATGACACTATTTTCTTGAACTTGGAAATAACTGGAAGGAGCTTTTATAGTTCATATTCGACAAGATCACGTCGTTTTAGCTATTATGAATGTTTTTTATTCAGGTTAGAATAATGAATGGAGAAGATACAGAGTCAAAAACCTGGGTATAAAGCCAAACAAGCGCTCCAAAAAGAGCTGATTTTTTGTTTACTAAAAAGCTTTCAGCACTTAATATGTTGATATTCATAATCAGCACACTTGACTCTATCAATAAATATGTGTTTAAACGAAATCAAAAATAAAAAGTTTTTCAGAGATTCCTGTGGAGGACCACAGGTCCCAAAAACCTTTTGGTGAGCTATACGAAAAAAACCTATGAAATATCATCAGGAGTCATGTCTTACTTCAAATCGATAAAAAACAGTTAATTTTGTTGCAAGCAGAAAAATGACCTTATCCACACTCGTCCTTTGAAGAGTCTAAAGAAAATATCAAGGCAGAATAAGAAATGTTAGGTATACATTTAAGATTATCTGAAATTCATTACAATAAAACAAATAATCTCACCAATTGTTTCTGTTGATGGTCTTCGTTCGGACTATTTCACTTGTCATGCATGATCTTCTTTGCAGATTTCTTTTTTTCTTTTTGTTGAATTTTTTTGTATGATAGATTCTTGTGGAAATAAATGTTCATAAAATCCATTAGAATGACTCGATTTTTGCATCTTTTTTTCTAAGAAAAATATTCTCGTAAATTTAAAATAGCATTGCTCAAGCTCTTATTAGCCAATACAATTTTTAATGAAAAACAACTGGATGTTATATCCTAAAGTTTTCTCTGATTGAAATGAATAAAATATATTTTAACCTTTTCAAACCAATGTAAGGGAAACGCAATAAAATTCAAAACTGAGGGTTTTTTAATACTTTGTTTTAATAATGTAAGCAAGGTTAATATTTGTTCTTTACAATAAAATCTTTGTGATATTAAATGTTGTTCAAAACGAGCAAGACAATTGTAAACAACAGCTCGTAATAAACCACATCATGAACTTAATGCCATAGGACAATATGCAAGACAATGTTTTTCAACAAATTGTTGACATTTTACTACGCATTCTAAAATGAATATTTCATGACAGTTTTAAGTTCAAAATAAAAATTCTTTATTGAAACATCAGACTATTAGAGTTTAGNAAGTTCGAGAATAGTCTTATTGGGGTGTGGGAGTGGGGTTGGGGTTGGGGTGCGGATGTTGGTATTATCTGGATCCCAGTAACACTTCCATGAACTTACAGTCAACAGCATCCGCTCCCACACCCTATTTTGCAGTTATTTCTCTAATATTTCAGTGCAGATCAAAAACTTTTTTCTTGAAAAATATTTCTCGTGAAATTTTCTATAAAATGTAGTTCTTTTTATTATCTTAGCTAATCTCAGTTGTTTTGTGATATACCATACAATCGATTAGTCCCAGAATTACAACTTTCAAAGATAACATTTGGTAGAAGTTTTTTTTACTGCGTGTTTTAATTTGTGAGCCATTGCTACTTTAGATGTCACTTTCTTCCAATTGATGACTTTCACAAATTCACCCTAAATACAATAATCGAATTGATTAAGATCAGGACTATTGGGTGGCAAACGAACTTTGTCGATAAAAGATGGAGAATTTTCTTCACACTAATATTGAATTATTTTACATTCTCTTCAAGAAACTGGTTTTGATTATGAAGAACAAAGATTTACAAAAAGTTATTTTTTCAAAATATGAAAATGGTAACTATCCTACAAAAATATTTCGTGATTTGAGCGGTGCACTTGACCTAAATATTATTAACAGATAGTGCAAAATGATAGATAAAACTGGTTCTACCAACCTGACAACACCACCAGATCGTTCACGTACAATACGAATAAAATCTGCAGTTAGCAAGGTTAAACGATATTTAGAAAAGGTAAAGTGTCAAATCGAAAACTTGCTCTTGAGTTAGGTATATCGAAGAAGTGTTCAACGAATTCTTCGAGATGACCTTGGCTATTGATCCCATAAATACTTGATCAAACCAGCATTCGAGGAAGAGCATAAAATTAAAAGAAAAAAGTTTGTTAACTGGATACAAACGAATTTTCGAAAGGAGGAAGCATTGAGAATTTTGTTTTCTGATGGAAAATGTTCTATATTAATGGAGTCTACAATTCCCAAAAAGATCGTATTTGGGCTATAGATGGATATGAAGAAAATAAAAAAGTTGGTGTTAAGCAAAAAGTCATTTTCTCAAGAAGTTATGGTTTGGTTAGGTATATGTTCAAAAGGAATTTCTCCATTAGTGATCTTTCAAGAGGGCACGATTGATCATGCCCGATATATTAAAGAGGTGCTTTCTGTTGCCTTAGAATACGGTACAAATACTTTCGAAAACAATTGGACTTTTCAACAAGATGAAGCTAAACCACACGTTAATCGTTTAATACAACAATGGTATGAGAACAACTTTCCATCTTTTATCGACAAAGATCATTTGCCGCCCAATAGTCCTGATCTTAATGAATTGGATTATTGTATTTAGGTTGAATTTATGAAAGTCATCAATTGGAAGAAAGTGACATCTAAAGTAGCAATGGCTCACAAATTAAAACACGCAGTAAAAAAACTTGTACCAAATGTTATCTTTGAAAGTTGTAATTCTGGGACTAATCGATTGTATGGTATATCACAAAATAATTGAGATTAGCTACGATAATAAAAAGAATTACATTTTATAGAAAATTTCACGAGGAATATTTTTCAAGCAAAAAAGTTTTTGATCTGCACTGAGATATTAGAGAAATAACTGCAAAATACTGAGAGGTTTACTTATTATGCGCCACCCGTTATTTCACTGCTATCAATACATTTCCAATCAAAAAAGCGATGTCAAAAAGGAGTCTTTCTTATCCAAAAGAGAACGACGCATAGGACAATTTTTGGCTGTTTCATTTAGCCAGTCATTTATACATTTTTATGAAAAATATGGTGGCACTTTGTGAAGACGCTGTCCGTATTCCACATGTCGCTCAACCAAATAAAACATTGACCATAGTAATTAGCAAAATTATGATGTATCATCAAGTCTGTCAGAGTACCGGATATTTTTTGAATTTCCTCGAAACACGTTTTCACTTTCTTTGCGTACCTCATTGTTATCATATTATAAATAGCGTGTAACCATTCGGTAAAACTTTCTGGTCGTGGTGAATAATAATCTGTGTTTGAATTCTGGATATCTTGATTTAGGTTGTCTAATAGATGTTGTCTTCTGTTGATTAAAACATGGTCTAAATCGTCATCGATCCTATTATCACCGAAAATAACGTTTTGCACTGAGTTTATAGTATTAATTGCATAAGTATCAGTCTTATTTAACTCTATGTATTTTTCTTTAGTCATTTGTTGATCAGTACAAAGTGTGAAAACAATTGTGCACCAATTCAAGATTTTCTTTCCAAATATTTTTTAACAATAATTCAATATAATATCGAATGTCGCGTGAAACTCGTCCATATTTAATACATAGATAGATTCTATTGTATCCAACCATTGAATTTTTCCCAGTAGCTTTTAGCATTGAGAAAATCTTTTCCTTGTTGAATCTATCATCGCCCAAGCCAATTGAATCTATGAAAGCGTAATGAGGAAAATTATAATAGGTAATAAAATATGCTGTTGATCCCGATGAACTATCGGACGTAATTGCGGACTTTAACAATGATTGTTTGCTAACATTTTTGTTGAATAATATGTTGGATGGATGGTATGGGTGTGGGTGTGTGAATGTATGAGTGTGTGTACTGTCTTTACACGCATTGCATCCACACCCACACCCACACCCTGGTTAATGCAGTTTCTCCTCGTATCTTTATGACCAGCTATTGACATTAAATGATGTCGGCATTCTTTGACTTATCGCTTAATCAAATAGAACGATTAATAGAAGATTCTCAATTCTGTTATTATCAAATAGATTAGATAGTCAAATATAAAAATATCAGACGGTATCGTAATTAACTTTTTAAAACAAAAAAAGGATACTCGTGACTTATGGAAGCTTTGCCTTTTAAGAACATTTGTCACACTACTGAAGTTTATGGGCTTCGATTGTCTTACAGTCTAAAGCTATATCCACTAACTCCGCGCTGATAATGGAATTTTCAAAGTAACATGATGAAAATAGATTTACTGGAAAACTTGCATGAAAGTACTTGATTTTTTTCTGATTCGAATTTTCAGTAACTTTTTATCTATCTAGAAATGATTTGTCTCACACAGAGTAGAATGTTTGCTCGAGCAAACATTTTTCAGAGATAAATAGTCATTTGTCTAGATGATTAACCTACTTTCTGAGGTTCGTTTTAATCTTATTTGTCATGGCGTGGAGAAACCTATGACATGTGGACGGAGAATGAATCGCAAAAGTTTCAAGTTGTAGAATGTATATTTTAAAATATATGTTCTTAATAGTTGTTCACTAGTCAATGCAACGAAAGACAGATTTAATTAGAAGATACAGAGAACACGTCATTATTTTTCTTATTGATACTTCCGTTTCATCATCTTTATAATATTAGTAGACTTTTCTTTTTCTTTTCGAAATAGATAATATCGTTACCTGGTGATTTTATGTGCCATTTCACACATCATTAAATAGGCAAGGTAAACAATCAACAAGATCAATATCATCAATATTTTTCTTTCCTTTTTCAATTTCATCATAGTCTGTGGTGTATTTTTTCAACGAAGTATACATTGACTCATGTATGAGAAATGTCTAAATGGAACTTTCCAATGTTATAAAAAGAAAATCATGATTTTGGAACATGTTTCGTCTCTTTAAATACTTCAAGAAGATCATACAACAGGACAGTTTTCTTGAAGAAATAGACCAACTTATTACCCAAACCGAGCTTGTCATCGGCAAAAAAACTTTAGTATAGCTTGGTATGCCTACTGAAGATGCTTCAGTTTATTACCTTTGGTCGAATAAAAAACTCATACAAAAAGAAATTGATCATCGAAGAAAGATTGCATCTTTTGCTACTGGTCTCGCTCTTACAACGACTACCGGAGTCGCATCATTCGGAATGGCCGTACCGCTCGTAGATCCCATTGCTGCATTTAAGGTCTACAAGATCCATAGTCACAGAAAGAAGTTGAAGACTGTCCGAGCTGAGTTAGCTCGGCGTCATCTTTCTCCTGCTGAAAAAAGAAAAAGACGTGCTCATTCCCATGACCAAGTCTGCAGTTATCTATTTTGCTACGATGGGTATCGCCGATGGACTTGATCTCATACCCGATGGACTACAAGCTCTCTTGGACGATCCCATACAAGAAGCATTCGAACTAACTGTAAGTAAAGTATATTTCATATTATTTTTCTTTTCGTTTGAAACATGTGTACCAAATCATTTTCATTTATGTGTCTAGGAAGAAAAAATTTTCAAATTGGCAGACAAATTTCAAGCTTTCATCATAACTGAACTTGGAGCAACAGTTATTCACAAAATCATGGTAAGCATATAAACAATCAAACAACGATGTTCAAAAATTTTGCAAAATTCAACGATTTTTTTTCATCTAGGATGATGACAATGACTACGACGAGCCATACTTTGTGCATGAAAAACGATTCTTTAGTTAAACCATTCGTCTACATGTAGCAATATTTAAAATATGTGCGAATGTAGATGCTTCAATCGGGATACTAGCCATTTTTAACTTTCTACCTTTTGATGGACTTATTTCACTGCTTTGCCGGGTTTCTCTCTTGGGTGTGGGTATGGCTCAGGAGAACCAACACCCACACTCACATCCACACCCTTCTTCGAAATATTTGATTATTTCCATGCACTTGATATTTTTACTGCTTTTACTTCATTAAATAAACGAATTTCGTCTATTCTACAATCAATTTGACTTCATGTTGTCATCTTAAATAGTCATTATGATCGAGAAATGGATTTTCTTTCTTCTCATATTATTTTTCATGCTCACCAAGATATATCACTAAAAGGTTGTGGGTGTGAATGTGGGTGTGATTTCTTTCTTTGCTCACACCAACACTCGCACACCCACATCCACACCCATCCAAACGGCTGGAGTAACTATGACTCTCTTCGGAACTTATAGTTACGGTTTTGGTAAGAGTCTCGGTCTCAGGTGGTATATCGTCCGCGACGCAGCCTCAGTCATGTCGCACGTGGCCATGGATAAGTAGGAAGGTAAACTGTCGTCAACGTTGTTCGTCAGGCTATCTGGGAACTCTCCGCGACCTCATCACACCTCCTACTGAACTAATAGAACCACCACTCTGTTGATCACATTAAGTGGTTAATAGGGTTTTCTTCTCTGTCCACATATTCTCGTTTTTCTTTATGACGGGATTGGACTGAGGACCAAGCAACACGGAACAGGCAAAAGTAATGGTGATGCTAGTGGGGCGCGAAATATGGTTTCTTCATCTTGGTGTAACAATTTGGTCTCAGTGTAACCAGATGAACCTCGTCTGTGGTGTTTGAACGCATAACCCTTAAACAAAAACATGCCGCAAAACGTATCACTAGTGAATCAATATTTGGCTCTACCGATAATGGTGTATTGTCAATTGGTGAATAGGACGTTCTGTTTCTGTTCTGAATTTTATTGTAAAAGTGTTTTTCTTTTTCTTGTAATCCGTTTAGCGTTCATATTAGATGTTCTTTGTGTCTTACTTGCTGACAGAAAATGCAAGAAAGTTTTAATAAATAAATTGATACATCAACATGTAAATTTATATTCGTACCAAAATCTTGAGCGTATCAAGTTCATCAATGAAATGAACGATGTTCTAGTATTCATTCAAAATGACTACTTTTTCATCCTCTATCAAAACAAGTGACTTCAATATTGACAATGTTCAAAATTCTTTTTAGTCGCTTGATAAAAGTATCATTAGAGCACCATTATCTTCTGTTATAGATCAAAGGTTAACAGTTAAGACACAAAAGTTAATCCAACGTATCCTTCTCAAACTATGGTTCTCAAAAAAGTAATCCAGCTAATGAACTAGTGATACAGTCCGGATTTTGCTTAAGAGAGTATTAAAGACGAGGAACATAAGCTCAGCTTATAGGTCCATCATCGACTGCATCAGTGGAATAAATTCTCGAACAGCGCGAACAGTTGCTTGATAGAACACCTGCTCGCCAAATGAACTTAGAGGTGACTATTTGAAAATTTTGTATTAGCATATCACGTATGCTTTTATTAGAAATAATATCGACCTTGTTGTCGGAGAATAGAAACGACTATTCAGAAATTAATTAAAAAAGATATTTGATGAAAGCAAAAAGTGTTTAACGGCTTTTAATTGGTCCTTGGATTCGGATGTTGGTTTACAACTAGCGTAAGTATTTTACTTGAGTTCTTAAGGGATTAACTCTTTTACTCTGAAAGCTATTTTTGCGACATAACATCAACCATTTAACAATGCGATTTTTTTTCTTCTTGACAAGTGCATTGAAAAAATATTCATAGATTCAACAATTATATTTGAAAATAATATAATTTTTTACTCAGCAGACTTTTATGAATAGATACATATTAAATCAATCATAATCTAAAATCTCTTCTGCATCTTAACAGCGGCTATGATTTTTCATAGGACATTAATTTCATAATTTTCTGGTGAGAAATTTGACGATCAACGGCTCTAAACTTCCAACAACATATCATTGGAAAAATACACAAAATGGGGTCATGGAGGTATAGGATATAATAGAAACATATTGTATCCTTAGACAATGGCATCGCGCTAAACGTCTAGCGATTAAGCAAAAGAACTGTTAGCACAATCCCTGTGGGATTAAAATATGACACACAATGCAGCTGATATTGATAATAATATGGAGATTGATTTATTCTCTATATCTTGAAACACACTTCTTCACCCTCCTTTTAATTGAATCCTTCCATATGATTTTTTCTACGGGTGTCCCCGAAAATTCGATTAAATATCAGCACAGGAGATATTGCACACACATATGTAACTACGGCCACACCCTTTATCTTCTATGCCGCCAGTACTTAATTGAGTTTTCGAGTAAATCCTAAAAAACAAGTAGCTCATCTGGTAAATCAACAACCTGTGCCATTGTATGCGATAGTCTACAGCTAGAGTCTGTCATAGTATGTAATGTGTTTCGAAAGTATCTGTCATGGTCTGAGAAGGAGGTGGAGAGTGAGTCCATATTTCTACTCTATACGCTTCATACTCCTTTTAGATCATGTTTCACAAAAATGTTCATGCAATATATATGGAGTCTGTCCAGGTAATCTATATTTTGATGAAACATAGATGCTTTTAAGGTCAAAAAAACTGATATACTATAAAATGTTACCTATGTAACTTGATGTACGTTATGATAAGGTCTTTCTGTTCTTGTCTTTATCGAACATAACTTTTGTTGCTTAGTTAAAAGTAAATAATAATGTGATAAGCATTTAATCGTTTTAAACATAATATCATGTTAACTTCACTACTGTATACATAAATAAAAGTTGTTATATACAACAATAAATAATACGTGGTTGTAACAATGCGTCATTGATATAGGTATACGTCAATAGAAGAAAATAAGTATGTAATTCTGTTATTAGAGAAGGTAAATACATTCTCTTATCACTTTTATATTTATATTATGGTTTAATTTTTACATCAATAATTATACACATAATGTTTCTCACAATATTATTGCTGGGCTTTTGTTTCATATGAACGTCACAATCACAACTAATTTTTCTATGTGATTTTGAAGAACCATGTGAAAACTTTCTATTTGATTCTTATTGGATTGTCGAGAATGTTTCATCACATATGGATCATACATATGGAAATCTTTCTGGTCATTACATAACTTATGGGAATTCTTCAACATCACAACCTTTAACTATATTTCGTACAAAAGATTGGATAAGCCCACTTTCAAATTTAATAGCATGTTTGTCATCTTGGTTCTATATAAGATACGGCAAAGTTTATTATGATATAGAACTCGCACAAGGTGATGATTTACAAGCTCGACTTTTATTAGGGAATTTTGCAATAGGTTGGAATGATCCACAATGGATTCATCTTTCGAGAGAATTGTTTTATGCTACTCGTTTCGTTCCTTGTGTATTGTTTAAAAATATTACGAGTTCATTTGATATTGATGATTTATCCATTTTATTCTGTAATAGTTCACAACCTATACCATTAATTATAACGATGCTTGATTGTGATTTCGATAAAACTGTATGTCCTGAGTTGGTTTCATTTTCCAATTATTTTTAAAGTTGGTCAGTGATTCAAGCAGAACAAGCACTGAACTATACGGCACAAGCTCCAGAAGTTGACTATTCAATTGGAAATAAAAAAGGTATGTTAAAATTAAAAAAAAAGACAATTGAATATTTTCGTTTAAAATCCTTCATCGTTGTAGGTCATTATATTTGGCTTAGTAATTCAGATTCATTACAACCGGGTGGTGCTGGCTATTTAAGCACATATTTCTTTCGTTTCACATCGTCTAATCCTATATATTGTCTCAGTTTTCAATATTATAGATTTGGACTTACCTTCGAAACAAGTAGACTTACAGTATTAGCTTTAAATGAAAAAGATCAAAAGTCTGTTGCACGAATTTGGTCTATTAATCCAATCAATTATACTTATAAAAATCAACGATGGTAATTAAATATATTCAGATTGAAATAATTTAAAAATATGTTTTGAATAGGTCTTGGGCATATGCTCCATTACCTGTAGGCAACTATTCTCTTCTATTTCGTATAGATTCAGATCATGAAGTGAATAGTTCATTTGCAATTGATTCAATTTCTATTAAGTCATGTGGATATCCTCAAAGATATTTTTCTAGTACTTCAAATATTGAATTTTCCTGTGATTTTGACAATCTTGAAAATCCAACATGTGATATACAAAACGATTATACAGATATTCATCCACAATCTGTAATTAACTACACTATACAATCACCGTATAATATCAATGATCAAGATCTTGGTCCAAGACAAACAACAGGTGTGAGTGGTGAATATTTTCTTTATTGGTCACGCTCTCAACAGACATTACTAACATTGATTAATGGACAATTTAGAACACCTTTAATAGAAACAAATAGAGATATGTGTATTAGATTTGCTTATTTTGTTAACTCGACAAATGTTCTACCAAATGAAAAAAATACGAAGATAGAGATTTCTACTTGTGATTGTCAGAAAGCAATTCTTTGGTCTATTGAATTAGATAACAGTCTTGGATGGCAATTAGTCACTAAGTCTTTTTATCCTACCGCTTGTACGGAGGCAATATATTTTCGTGTTACTCAACGACGACCAACACGAGTAGCTGTTGCTTTTGATGATATTACTATTGTACAATGTGGTACATTGAATGTATTAACTACTATTATACCATCACTGACTATGCCTCCTAGCAAAACCTCATCGAATTATATAAATTCAATTGTTTTGATTATTATTGTAATTTTTATGTTGCGTTTACGACTATCGTATGAATAATATTATTAGTCGAAGAAAAACGTGTCAAAATTAATTATTTTGCGCATAATTATTAAACGTGTATTATGAACTGACAGTTAAAGAACTGCATTTTTTCCTTAAAGGAAAAAACTTTCTGATGATTTTTCGTATTGTCTTTTATTAAAGATGTTCTAATTTAAAAATAAAAATACTTGAAAAGATTATAATGAATTATATATTAGTAAAATTCATGTTTATGATGATAATATTACTATGATTAAATATGCATTTCGTAGCTGATCTGGAATGAGTACACGAGCGAGATCTAAATTTGAAAATTGAATCCAAGTGTGCAGTCACTACTTCAAGTATTCAACTATCCAGTTTGGATAACCAAGCGAAGCTTTGTATGCCTTGATTTCCATGACATCTTCATGTAGAGATGTGCCTTGTATATGTTTCAGGAATAGTAGAACACTTGAATTAAATCCACAAGTTTGACACTGCCGGGTTTTGAAGAAGATAAGAATACAATCAACGGAGTACTATTATTCGAAAGAGGACATCTATGGATATTAAATCGTAGTTTGGTTAAAAATTGAATATAACACTTTGTCTGGAGTTTTTGTAGAAAGCAAGACACTGCTTATTATTTAGTCGTCATTGTGCTGCGTCAAGTATACTTTGTATGCTTCTAAAAATAAATAATATTGTTGGAAAAATTATTTGATAGTGACATGATTCATCTCTTGTAGTTTCAGGTGAAAAGGAAGAAGAATTAGTAATCTGTTGACACACTTCCTTTGGGTTTTTTCTCAGTAACACAAAAGAATATTACAGGTAAGATGTGACACATCATTATTCTAATCCCTGACTAAAGAATAAATGACTGCACAATGGCAATGGCGATCAGATGGTAAACCATGGGATATCATAGATCTAGAAAAAGCCTCATGGACATCATATTCACCTGAAGAGAATTCTCTGATTGAACAAGCCTATGGTTCATCTTCACCTAAACCTATTGTAATTCGAAATTACTATGTAATTGATGTTCAGAAACGAATTCAATATGTACAAAATGCTTCAGGAAATCAACGTCCAATAAGACGTCTGAGTAACGTTCAACATATAAACGAGAAACATATTCGTCAAAATCGTTTCGTTTTCCCTGATGATCATGATCATTTCTTTGAACCGTTCGAAATTGATACTAAATTTGGTTCATTGATTATACAAGAATGGCACAAAAACTTTATTGCATGTCATCGAGGAGATAGGGAAGTAAGTGAAAAAGACATTGTTGAGGCGGCTATTAAAGGAATAGAAGAAGAAGGTTTGAAGAACGTGGAATTTATTCCAGAAACGAAAATCATCTGCGATGCGTTGCGTGATGTACGGGATTGTGAAAATAAAGTGGGCATAAAACAACGTGCTGCATATTTGTACACTCGTTGTGGTTTTCTGTACAAACTGGTCAATCAAGCTCTTCGAGAGCGTGACAAGCGAATTTATCGAGATACACTTGGACCTTATTGTTATTTACTCTATTCTTATCTTTGTCTGCGTCCGCCTTTTGATGTTGATTTCTATCGAGGAACTGTATATCGTGGTGCCTGGCTACACCCAGGTATGATCGGTCGATTTCAGAAAGAGATGAAACAAGGAAAGAAATTCTTGACCTGGCTTGGCTTCACGTCAACAACTAAAAGTACCGCAGTGGCCGATACATTCACGGGAAATACTGTCTTCGAAATCTTATTGAGCAATACAGACCACTTCACATGTCAAGGTGTCGACATTAGTAACTTTTCAAGCATCCCTGATGAAGAAGAAGTTCTATTGCCATCTGGTTTTCAGTTCGAAATTGTCGACGTGAAATCATTAGAGCCAACAAAAGACAGGCAATTTCCTCATTTTCGTATACAAATTCTTCCACGTCAATGCGATAGTGTTGTAACATAGAAAAATAAAGCAAATAACGAATGATAGTCGTTGTCTGAAGATTTACGAACTAATTCACTTATTGATAAACGATCAGCTTAAAAGTATTGTTTTTGTTTGTGCATTTTTTGTACTACTTCAAAAATTGAATCTATAATAATTGGAAAGTGGTCAAAGAGTACTTATTCATTCTGTTTGTAATATTTTCTCTATCAAATACTGGAAGTGAAACTATTCCATTGAAAGTCCTTTAATTTAGTTCAATTGACTTAGGAAAGCTCCTTAGATAGGGAAAGATGAGTAGTTACAGTGCCGCGAAATGCCATTTTTTCCTTCGTTATATGGTTGCTCCAGCTTGCTACTTAATACCAATTGCTCTATAACATCTGAAACTTAACATGATGCTGCCAAAGAATTACTACACACAGTGTCTCTGAAGTATATCTGAAAGAAAAATTTGTCATTGAATGCTCTAGATGCATAGCATTAATATGAATTTAGCTGAAGTTGAGACATACCCAGGTAGTCAAAGAGCGTTCATATCTAATTTAAAATACTAAAAAGCGGAATCAATGGTTCTATTTGACCCGATCATGGTGTGTGTGGGTATTGGTTTGAGTCGATCATAGATTGTCCTATTAGAGTCGTAGAAAAAGTAAAGAAAGTTTATACATTCATCAATCATTGGGTGGTTTAAAGTTTATTTGAATAATTATTAATGTCTAAGGACAATTTTGTGGGCAACATAAGTTCTGTGGACATAAATTTTAAATTATAATTATCTACTAATGAATTTGTTTGTTGTCTTATAGCACGGTGTCTATAGAAAATATTTTGTTTTATTATTCCTGAAGATGATTGGCGTTATGTGTCGAAAGCTTGAATAAATAAATGTGATTTGCGATAAAAAACGAATAATGTTTTTCATAGCAGTTTTATACTGATTTATTCCTCGACAGAAATGATGGTTGATCGAGTATGTATGCCAATGAAAATCAACTAGTCTTTTTTTTCTTTAATTTGCAAAGGTTTGCTCCTGTTCTCTTCGAGATTTTATGTTTCTTTAATAAACGATAATAAATGAAAACAAAATGTGACACTTGCTTGCAACCATGTGTTGCTCATCACTATTGATGCTCCTCGATAGCACATAAATATAGTATTCACAAATGACTGAATGAAAACATTTCCTTTGAAAACAAAACTTAAACTCTTGGAAAGAATGCAGGTAAGAAAGAACACAACGTGACTCATCTCAATTCTTTATGTGTATTGGAAGTTAGTAGCTTGAATGACGGCAATTTTGATTGCAGGTATGATGTTGGATTTGTGCAACGCACTTGGATAAGTACTTCTACGAATAGCTAATTATCCGAAGTTGTGATTTTGATAATCTGTCGAATGATGTGACTTTCAAGTAAGATGTTTGATTCGAGAGTATGTGCATGTGTGGTGTGAGATGTGGGTTTGGGTATATGAATTAGGTGTGGGTGTAATTGAACAGAATATCACACCGAAACCCACATCCTACAGATTAAAAACAAAGGCATTGTAGAGATATCATTAAGCAAAATTAATTTTTTTAGTAAATGATATTAGATTAAATAAAAGAAAAAAACTAGTTAATTATATTTATTGTATACTCAAAAAGTGAGTACACTCTAGTAT